TTAATTCCGGTTTTGCGTTTGAATTTATTTTTAATCAAGTAAATTAATACAAAAATGCAAATTTCATTACCCCAGCATATGGTATAATTATATGTGACTTGTTTGGGAACTGATTATAAGGGAATAAATATTGCAATATTTTCGAATACGTGATCTTTTAATATTAAGTCAATACTCAAGACATTAAATCTGAGAAATTAAAATTTTGTTAACTATTTTTTTAACTCTTTAAAATGTTGTCATAAGTCAGTATTGAAGAAAATGAATTAACTGCGGATCTAAAGGACAATTTGGAAATGAATGACAACTGTTTTCAAACTAAGAAGGTTGTCTTTCTAGCAAAGACCATTTTAGGTTAATAAGAACATCAACAACAATTTGGCGGCGTTTGAAGCGTTATTGAAACAATATGTATAATAGATATGGACAATCAAATCAGAGAAGGAACAAGAGGGAGTGAGGCACTGTAGCTGTAGTTGTAGTTGTGGCAGTGGCACATTCGGCGGATGCAGCGGCAGACGGCAACAGTAAACAAACAATTAGAAAATGAACTTGCAACGAAACAAACTTACTAAAAGTTGCTGTATTCCATGTTGCTGCTGATGCTGCAGAACGTTGTTTGGATTGGATTGGATTGGTCGGAATGCGAAATCATAACAAATTAGGAAGTAGAAAAACAAACTCAAATCAAGTGTGGCCCAAAGAAGGAAGTTAAACTGAACTGAAACTATATTCCCGCTCAAACACGGTGGCCACTTTTGGGAACTCTTTAACAATCTTTAGTATCTTTATCTCTTCGGATCCCATCCAAAGTGGCAACCGCGTTCCCAATCCGCCCTGCTCCCTGCTCGACTCTAGCTGAGAATGGTTCAACCGTTGTGCTGCTGCCGCGGGATCCTTCTTCGTCCGTCCTCGATCCACTTACCCCAATGATCAGGTTGAGCTCCTGCATGGTCACCTGCTTCGCCCGCTCCACCGCCTGCAGCACTTGCTGCTGGTGGTCGGCCTGAAGGAATGGAAGTAGCTGGTTGATCAGTGTGTTCAGCCGCTTGGCGATCTCCGTCTGCTTGTGCATCTCCACGTTAAGGCCATAGGACATCTCGTAGTACTGTGGGGAGTGGGGGATAACAAAAGACCGGGCATTAGCTAAGGGATCTCTCGATAATTTGAGAATCATGACGACGACGACGACGACTTACCATAACATAATGGCGCTGCATCTCCGTCTTCTCGTTCGACAGCTTCTCGCACTCCAATTTGATGCTGGAATTCACAGGAAAAGTGATCAACGGGCAAATTAGTTGGGCGACGGAAGCGAACTGAATTTGAGAACTCTCGAGCTCAACGCAAGGAAGCGGCGATTGTGGAGCATGGAGTGGCGGCCGAGGCGGCGCGCAGGTTAATCCTATCCTATATGACAAGCGGCGCATATGGCGCGCCAAACCGGTTTGGCTCAACTCAGCTCGGCTTTTTGTTTTACTTTTCGCAAAACGCAGACGCAGCATCCACACTCACACAATCGCACGGTCCAATACGATGGCGGTACAGCGAAGGCTTTAAATGTGATCTCTTTGGGGCATGTTATTGTAGAGGGTTCTAATAGGTTTCGTTTAACCTCAACTGAGGATGATTAGGCCTCATTTCTAGGGTGGAATAGTTCTTAAGTAAGTGATAATCACTTGATTGGCAATTGAATTGGTTTGTCTGTACGGGATTCGTGGATTGCAAATAAATAAATGATTAAATATTTCAAAGAACCATTTATCATATAATCTGAATTGGAGGGAAATATATATTACGCGATATCATTATTTCAAAAGATTATATTTACAATGCTTTGATAGGGATTGTTAAACACGCTCTTGGATAACTGAACTCTTGTAGAACAGTAAAAGTAATTAAAAAATTCAATGAGATCGTAAGTATGATAACTATTTTTAACTCAGGTTATACAACTGCAGTGATTTTTAGATTCAACCAGATAATTAATAATGTTAATGAGAAAGTCTTGATAAACACTATTTTGGATACGATACGATATTTTATTTTTGTGATTTCTGATTAACCTGTTCTAAAAACCGTATCAAATTTCATAATCTTATGAAAAGTATGTGATTTTGAAAGTATATCAGATCGTAAATCTCCAAATATGGTTAGATAATTTGGGTTTCCTTCTCGGTTTTCCCTTTCAAAGTACTAGAATCAGCCTTCACTGTTGGTTCCACTGGACCTGGTTACTTGCCTGTGGTACTGCGCCTGCAGGAAGTTGAACTCCTCCTTGATGCGCTCCAGTGTGTCGGCGATGGTGAACTTGATTGGACCCTGAGGTGGTGGTCCCTGTGCAAGTGGACATCGATATGGCGGGTGGATCACATGGCGTGGGAGGGAGAGGGAGAACGGAAACACAATTAGCACGGATTTGGGGGTCAGGGGTGGGGGCTGAACTTACCCCGGCGGCGGGGTGGCGCACCGGTGAGGGATACATGTTGTTGTTAGGCTGGTATGTTGCCGGCTAGAGCGGTAGCGATAGTTCCGAGGTGGACACCGATTTGCCGGGGCGGAAGTCCTGCTGCTGCTCCTCCTCCTCCTTCTTTCCTTCCTTCCGGTTGTCCCTGAGCACGGCACTGCACTCCACTCCTGGAAAATCCCCGTTGAGACCCAGAGTTCTTGCTACCCAGCGTTTTGTGGTACTTCTTGTTTTTTCTCGCTTTTCTTTCTTTTTTTTCTTGTATATTTCCGACGATGGCAGTTTGTCCGTTTTATTATTTTGTGTGTTTCTCCCGCTGAGCAGACGGAACCGGCACTTAGTGGCACTCCATTTCCGGGCTACTTCGCATTCTGCATATCCTGCGAATGGAATTTTACAACAACATCATCATACATTCGCTTAGTTATGCTTTTTCCATATATTTTTGCACCATTTTTTTCGATACGTTCGCACGCACGTACATGCACGCACACAGGCACGCGGAGCCAGCGAGACACACGCACACTGGCGCAGGAAACGGGAGCGAGGGTACGAGTGTGAGTGTTTACCGCCGAAAAATCAAGCGCACAGTTGCATGTGGCCCCCGAAATTGTTACGCAAAATCACAGTTCGATTTTCGGCCGGCTCTATGGGCCCTGTTCCGATTGTTAAGTTGGACGGGGTCTGGATTAATCCAACGAAAGTATAGCACTTTTTCTGCCCAAAGACAGCACACTTTGCACAAACAACATGCGAACATATACAGACAGACTGCAATTAAACAGGGTTGCCATGCTGTTGGAGAAACAAATGGCAGTGGGGCACTCTTTACTATTTTCTTCTCGGTCGAATGTTTGTTATATTTGCGGTTTCTTTGGTTTATTTTCACTTAAGAAGTTCCTTTTTAATTTTATTACATTTTACGGGCAATGTGTTTTCTTTTATGTGACTTTGCGCGACAGGCGGCAACTCTGCTCGGCGATACGGGCACATACATAGAAACCAGCGAGTGGCCAAATCACACACACACACGCACACTCGCGGGCAGCGCAAAAGAAAAATTATACTGTGTGTCCTATACAAAAAATAAACAAAAGCAATTAAAAAAGCGAGATAATGGCAGTACCAGTTTTATGCCCCGGATTAGCACGTTTTATCGCAGGCTATCCCTATGTCCCGCACTCGAATCGCCGATCTTGGTTGCGAGAATTTCACTGTTTTCGCCACCGAAAAGTGGGTAAATTATTTTTTGTAACTTTTCGCCCGTATAAAATTGCCTGTTTTCTGCCGACCGAAGTGTGTCTGAGCATTCGTGTATGTGTTGGGCAGCTTTGGCGGCGGCGCTCTCTCGCTCTCGCACACACACGCACGAACGCACTCTCTCGCTCTCCCTCTCTGCGGCTCTACTACACGCGCACTCGCTGTACAAACGCGGCTTGTAAATGGCGTTCTCGCCTCAATTTTATTTTTGCAACTCCTTCTGCACGCCGCTTTTCACCTCGGTGGCACTGCGAATCCTCGCCGTTGGGGGCAGCTGGCAATTGGGGGCCTTTGGGGCATCGGCACTGCCCGTTTCTATTTATAATTTCCTGTTTTTTTTGTCCGCGACGGGCCGCGTCGGTACATGTATGTTATCGGTTATTGTTATCGGGTTTTAGGCAATTTTGCCTAGCACTTTGGGATTTTGTGTGACCAGGTGCGGCTTTAGTGCTGGTAAACGTATCAATGTATCGATATTTTGTGAACTAAAATAAATATTTATATCGTGATATTACGTAGGTAAACGTAAGTATCAGCAAAAGAAAGAGAGAAAAAACTGACAAAAATAAGCATATGGAGGAATGTTTTAAAAGCAATACCAAACATCGATGCATAATTTTCAACATCGATAAACGGTCTGTTATCGGGCTTAAATAATAAACCTATGCTATACAAGTATACCGTTTTGTGTCAAAAAATTAAAACATGGTATTTGGAAATATACCGAAAGTTCGTTATGTTGGCGCGCGAATCAAAACCAATCAAATTTTAACCTCTGCAGATCAACTCATCGATCGGATTTGTGACAAAAAATAGGTAACATTGAAATGAAAATGAGAGAACAGAGAATGGGCGGGACTTTTAAATGCACAAACGGGGTGAATTAAAAAAAAACAATATATTATTTTCCTCTAATTTTCCCCCATTTTTATTAGTCCAATTTCCGGTGTATTAGAAGCAAACATTTTTTTTTTAATTTTGCAGGGGTATTAATAAGTAATTACAATATTTCTTTGTTTTTAAATATTTATGTTTGTATTCTTTTTTAAAAAAAAATGTTACTTAAATTATGAATAAAACAGATATCCTTCCAGACAACGCAAAAAGTCAGGTAGTTTAATTGCGTTTATTGATAATTCCCGTATGATATTATCGTAAGAGATTCCAATTGGCGGTAAAATTGCTGAAAGAAATGCTGAAAATAATCCCTGACCCAAAACAACCCAATAAAGTAAACTGTTTGTATTTTCTTTTTAAATTGGTTTATATTTGTTTTAATTGTTTTGCTAATTGTTTTTCATTTTGCTATTTTGTTGCCATCACAGTTGGGCTATCACAGATGCGTTGTTGGTTGGTTCTCCATATCACCATCGCCTTCCTCTACCACTTCCCATTAACCCCTTTTGTGTTTACCAGGGGCGCCACAGGGGCTGTTCTTGCAGGGGCTGTGGCGAGGGGACGGGGCTGTCGCAGTCGCTGTGATATCCCGAGGAGGCGGGGCTGAGGGGAGCCTTGTCCATTGAGGAGCAGTCCATGGCGATCAGGTGGGAGTCGGTCTGGGCCTCGTGGAACTGCTGCAGGTTCTTGTAGATGCGTCCCAGGTGAGTCATCACCGACTTGCCCAGGTCGACGCTCATGCCAGGTGTGGAGGCCATGACACGTGACACCTCGTTGACGGCGTTCATGTAGCCGTTCTTGAAGCTGTCCAGGGGGAGGGACGTCCTCTCTTCCTGGACCACCTTCTTGTGGGTCTTTTGCTGGCGCATGAAGAGCACCGCCGACTCGAGCATCTCGGCCTTGTCCATCCGCAGGATGCCATCGTCGCCGCGCAGCTCGGCGACAAGTGTTTTCAGGTTGTCCAGGCACTTGTTCATGCGGGCCCGTCGCTGGCGTTCCAGCAGGGGCTTCTTCACCTTCTGGTAGAGCTGGGTCTTGCTGGTGTATTCCATTTTTGATATTGTTTAATGTTACGTATATTTTCGAAAGAAATTTTAGAAATTTTCTCTTTCGGCTTGGTTGTTGCCTGCTCGATGGCGGAATCGTGAGTGATATTCTGCTCTGCGGAGGACTGCCCTTTTATACCAGCTCCCTGGGCCCTCGAAATCCACCCTCTGATACGCACCTTTTCTCCCCTCTCTTTCGCTCGCTCGAGTAAGTCCCTCTCGTGCCGTCTCTTTCCGAAGGAACAGCTGCATTTTCGGAGGACGGAGGACAATCCTTGTGGCTCGTGGCGTGGGAACCGAGCTGAAAGTAAGTTTCTCACACAATTTTTTCTCGTTTGTTTTCCCTTTTGGCCACATGCTTCGCTCCGCTTCGTCTCTTTTTTTCGAGTTTAAGGATCAGGGCACAAATTTTTGCAGCTGTCGCTGTTTTTGGCTGTTCGCATTGCTTTCTGGGCCGGTGTTATTATCCTTAATGCATACTTCACTGCCTCATCCTGTCGTGTCTGGAATGGGAAAGTACGTATATGGGTAAATGGGATCGGAATCGGGATCGGAGGCGACTCAGGAGAGTGAGGAGTGGGGGATCTGGTTGTGCGTGGGCTGCCCAGGCATTGTTATCCTGCCGTGCCATCTACTCGCTTATTGTTTCATCAATGCCTGGCCTGCAGACGATGATGATGGCATAAGCCCCCGACTCCTCCGCCCAGGAGATCTCCGCTTTCCGTTCCCACACTGCCCCGTCGACGAGTGTTTATTGGACACAATTAGTGGATGTGGCATATTGGCTTCGTGCCGGGTCGTTCGATTGCTTGTTGTTGCCTTTGGGTTGCCTCGTTTTCGATCTCGGCGTTTTGGGTGGTTGGCAGGGGGACGACGTGGGTCAAACGGGCGCAGAAAGTGTGCCCCGCGTGCCACACTCGTGGATGAGGTTGGGTACTGGGTGAGGTGGGTCTTGTGCCGGAATGCCTACCTATGGCATGTTCCTGACTCCCTGCAACCCCCCTAATTGGCATTTAATAGGTGATCAATTGGTGTTCACACTTCTTAAGGTACTTTGGGACCTATTTTTTAAAATAATTTAAAAAAGTGTTTTGTGACTTACCTTACTCAAGTACCCCAAATAAGTGGATGGGAATAGAATTCTGAATATTTAAATAGAAACCTTAATCAAGAGTCTTGGGATATGAAAAAGGTTTTCGGTCTTTTAAAGTCGGTTAGTTATGGGATGGTTAAATTCGGAACCTTTTTTAATTTGCTTATAATAGCTGGCTTCATTTGATTATTATAGCAATAAAGCATAAGCTTAGTCTTTTACTGGAATTCTTAATTCGTTATAAACACCAGAAATCTTTAATTGGTGGCCATTTTATATTCCATTAATTATTTCTAATAGGTAACCGATATAAATTCTTCCTGAAATTCCTCAAGAGTCAAAGGTTAACAAGATGTAAATTGTAATGAAAGGTTTACTATAGTAGTCCTATAGGGCAAACAGATGACCTTTTGCAACGACGCCTACCTAGAGGACCTATGTCCCTCCCTTGTAACCTCCTAAAAGATGATCATTCTTCAGTGATTAATTCAGCAGGGGATGGGTACATATGTTAAGAGACCATAATATTGACAACTAATATGTGTTAAAGTAACATTTTATACCTTATTGTAATAGGTAGGGATGTTCACACTTCTTACGTTATATTGTGAGTCAGAGGCTAATAGGATGTGAAATGGATTTGGGTTCGAGTGTCTACCTCCCTATCCACCCCGCAATACATGATAATAATGATATTATTGATATTGAAAAAGAAAATACTTGGAGGGGATCTTAGAACTTATATAGAAGGTAAAGGTTATGAAGATGAGTAGCTTGGACGTGTGCTGAAATGCAACCTTTCTTCGACTGCCTTATTGGCCTTTTATATGAGGAGCATAAAGGGAATAATCATAACGATATCCATTGCTTAATTTTGGGATCGTAACTCAACACGTCCAAGTTTGTTATGAAGATGTCATATTAAAAAGGTTTTACTTAAAAAAAGTTAAAAGATAAGGTAATTGTATGAGGGTAGTGGTTTTTGCAAAAATAAATGTATGCTTTAAAACTAAGTGATCATCAGTGTATCATGTATCGGTTATCATATTTTACTTGTTATTGGAACATATTATTAATTTAGCTCGTTTAAAATAATGATGGGTTTTGAGATAATGAACATAATTTATAAGAAGTCCATTACCTTATACAAGTAGGCATTTAATTATCTAGAGCACACCATGCATATGTTTTATTGGATATAAAAAAGTAAGTTGTAAATATTTAGTATATTCATTTAAAGTTTCTTTGCTTATGCAGCAATATTCTTTAATCAGAATAAATGTTCTCCTTCAATTTAAGGTTTAAGATGTTTTGGAGGAATTTAATTGTCCATTAGGTATTTAAACTTCCTATTGGATAACTAAGGGACCCAAAACTAGTCCAGGATCAAGATATCCTATTGGAGAAAGTGCTGTAAAATAAGAGTCCCCAAATAAGAAGAAGTTTGAACAATTTCGTTTCATATTTTGTTTGTATTTGTTTTTTTTGTTTTCATATCTTTTTCTCTTTTTTGTATTCTTGAGATCTCTTAGTTGGTAAACATTTGTGTATAAGTATTGTAAAAACAGACTTCTGCTCGATTGAGTTAAGACAAAAGTTAATAAAGCGTGCCCTATCACAGACTTAACTTAGAAACCTAAAACTTGGTAACGTAACAAATAAATGAGGATCATTGTAAAGCATTTTCTAAAGCTGGCAGTTCCAATTGCGTGATTGCCCGTCGTGGGGATTTCAGTCCTTCGAAGTGGATCTGGATTCATATCCAGATTTACCAGGGGCGCCACACCTGTCCGGGGCTGCTGATCTGGAGCAGGGACTCGTTGTCGCTGGCATAGCCACTGGAGACGGGGCTGATGGAGGAGTAGGAGGAGCTGGCACTGGAGCAGGAGCTGGAGTTGGAGCTGCTGGATCCACCGCAGATGATGCTCAGAGGAGTGTTGACGGCCTGCGCTTGCTCCATGGGCTGTTCCAGTTGGTTGAGACGCATGCCCAGGTGGGTCATCAGGGTGGTGCCAAAGGCCACATCCACTCGGGGAAGGGAGGCCAGGGCGCGGGACACCTCATTGGCTGCCCGGATGTATCCAGCACGGAAACTCTGCTCAGGATTAGCTGGAGCCTGCTTCTTGGACTCCTTCAGCTTGCGGAGATGCTGCACTGTGACTTCCAGAATATCGGCCTTCTCGAACTTGGCATCCCCTGTCTGGGAAACGCACTCAGCCATCAGGTCCTTCAGCTCGTCCAGGCACTTGTTGATCCTGGCACGACGCTTCCGCTCCAGCAAAGGCTTCATCACCTTGCGGTACTGATAGGTCTTGGACATCTCGTATTTGGTGGCCATTGTGTTGGAATTTCTGTTGTGAGTTGAATGAAGAACTTGAAGAATGTCTGGCTGAAGAACTTCTTCGATCTTTTGGAGGAATGTATCCTGAGATGTTGACTGCACGACGATTGCGTTGGAAATGTTGCCTTCGTCTCCGGTTACCGCCGCTTTTATAGCTGCACGTGCCGCTTGGGAGAGCGTCTCGTGCTCAGCGCACGCTGCTTGGAGAAAGAGCGAAGCGAGAGTAGCGAAGCCCCTGGAGAACCACCACCTGCGGAGCAAATTACTCTCACTCAGTCACTGGGACACGATCCTCTCGCCTGCATTTTCGGTGGTGGGTTTTTCTCCACAAACAAGTTTGGTATACAGCCAGGGTCGAAATAATATGATCCCTAGAATTAGAACTCGTCGAATTCTTCATTTCTATATAAGAATATTTATTCTAGATTTTACCAACTAACATAAAAGGTTCAAAAAGTTAGAGTTCCAATTTATTGATGCCCTAACTATATCGTTGAAATTGATTATGTGTTTAAAGTTTCTTATATACATTTTTGAATACCTATGTTTAATTATAATTCAATATAACTATGTTTCTCTACGATCTCTCATATGTATGAAAAATAATTCAAATAAAATACAATCTTTATCTAAAACCTTAAATTAAGAAGCACTTGAAGAACGTTCTATATCCTATTATGGTGACCCCATTTGTTTCTATAAGTGAGTCTCGGCAGGGGATGAAGATGCGATGGTGCAGTGGTGGTGGTGCGACGGTGGTTGCACATGCTGCTTCTCTGTTTTCCTTTCCACTGACATTCGAATCGTGGGAAACACTTTGCCCTCAAGTTTCCCACAAGATTTTTCTCGCTCGTTGGTGTTATAAGTTATAATCGGAGGTAGTCCGTGTGCGAGTCCCGAGTCCGAGCACCGAGTTTCGAGCCCTTATGCACATGGCACAGTGGGTCAAACCGATCAAACACATGCTGGAATTTCACATTTTTCTTGCTTTCTTCAATGACAATTTCCAGGATTTTCCAACTAGGTGAAAATTAAGGTATACGGATTTTACGCATGCTGTTATCTACTTGCTAGGGATAGTTTTTGAAATTCTCGTAGAGATCGTGGGAATGTGATTTTTGGATGTGGATAGTGGGGTTTTCCAAACCGAAGATGTGTGCAATTTTAGGAGTTTTGTGTAAGGTATTTCTTGCAGGTCTCGAACTTTGTACCTTACGGATTTTTCGTGGCCTGTTTTTAACTTGCTACGGTAATTTTCGGACTCTCGTTAAGAAACCGTGGGAATGTGAGTTCTGGGATGTGATTTTTAGGGTTTTCCAAACCAAAAATGTGTGCAATTTTAGGACTTTTGTAAGAGGTATCCTTGCAGGTTTGAAAGTGATTATTTTTGGATGTCTGTTTTCTACTTGCTACGGTTAATTTCTGCGTGGGAAAGGTACAACTGTTTCCAAGGGGACTTTTGTGGAAGGTGTTCCGTGCAGGTTTTGTACCTTATATTGTACGGATATTTGTGGCCTGTTTTCTACTTGCTACGGATAATTTAAACTGCGACTGTTTGTGGGAACTTGGATCTTGGAAAAACGTAAGGTAGATGCGGTGTTGTCAGGATCGCAGTTTTAGGGATATTTTGTTAACAGATGTGTGAGATATAGGAACTTTTGTGGAAGGTGTTGTAGGCAGGTTTACTTTGAGGCATACCATTTGTTGGTATTTTCAAACATGAAAGGTGATCGAAAACAAAATTGAATTTTTTAATAATTTTTTTAGAAATTTGTTTTAAAGATGAAAGATCAACCCTCCGAGATTTTCACCAATTCCCAAGCCATTTGAACCACTGTAAATCTGACCGAGCTGCGAGTGCGAGTCACGGGTAGTACTGAAAAAACTACCACCTGCCCTTTATTTTATTTAATTTTTTCTTGTCCATCGTGGGCCCTATGTCTGCCCTCTCCCTCGCACCCGCTGTTGTCAATTATGAATGCTGAATTGTAGCTTCTGTTGAACACTTGGGCCCTCGGTTCCTGGGCTCCTCGGCTCGGGATCGCTAAGTGGCATACACATATACGCGTATGGTATTCCTGCTCACGTCGGGACATCATCATCGTGGGACCCAGTTCCCATATCCCATATCCCATGTCCCAGAGACAGAAAAAAGGGATGGTTGTGTTCGATGGATCGACGAGGGACATGCAAACTAAATGACTGTACGGCAAATTGACACACACTAAAGATTAAATGTATCGCATTCGTTAACTATATAAACAATATACGTGGCCGGTTTGGAGAACTCTGAAATGCTGTAGATGTGGCAGGAAGTGTGTGTGCGCTGCGTGCTGAGAGTGTGCTGAACAACAAGCCGTTACAATTTTCTGTGGCGACTCGGACTGTGAGAAAATTTTTCGAGCTGCACATGGCCAGCTCAGGGGTCTTGTTGTTTTTTCCTCTTTTTATTAAATAGGGGCAACCATTTGGGCACGCAACGGGGTTGGCTTATTGTCAATGCATCGCTATAATCGCTGGTGTTGCTGCTGGGTTGTTGCTGTTGCTGCCGTGCTGTGGATGTTGCTGCTGTGCTGCTGTTGTTGCTGCCGTGTAATTGAATATGTGTGCGCATGCTTGGCACGCCAAACGCGCGACAGAAGCGAGCAGCTCTGGAAAACAAAAGCTAAAGGGCCCCCAACAGAAGCTTGCTGCGCGCCACGCATGCGCAATAAAATCGAATGAAATGCAAAAAATTAAAAAAAAGAGTTGGATTTTTTGCAAGCTTGAGAATCGGCGACAGGAAATTATCATTTTGTGCGGAATGACAGGGCGGTGATTATCATTTGCTGCGATTAGCTTGATGCCCGGATATGCGGGAATATTGTCAGCCTGAGGGGCTTAGCTTTGATTTACATTTGGTTTCGTAAGATTTTTAATAGGGAAATTACAAAATAAATGTTTTTTTTTCTGATTTAAATTTTTTAAATGCCAGTTAGTGGGTTTAATCAAGTTATTACTAACGTTTAATAACCTGTGAAAATATATAACAAACATCAATCAATGTTATAAAGTCAACAATAGATCTAATTAAAGTTGGGTCAATGTGTGATTGGGATATACTTTTTAAGCCGCCTAAAAGATTTGTCGAGGGCATTCACTATTTGATTTTCTCTTTAATCAAAATCCAATTGGCTTGATTTTTCCATTTCCCAATTATCCATATAAAAAGACAGAGTTAATTTCAATTGATTTTTTCTTTGTATTTAAATTTCTTATAAGCTAATAACATTTATAATACACTAACTAGCTTGAGTTTATATCACAAATGTATTTTATATTTATCATTATAATATCTCGAGGGTGTCCAACTGGAAAGATCCTTTGGACTAGGACTACCTCGAAACTTGTTGTTCCATTCCATTGACAGCTCCATTCATTGGAAATTGAATGATGATATGCTTTGTATTACTCATTCATCCAATCAGTCGCTTTGGTCTCATCTAACTACCGGTTTTTGCTTGGTGTTGCTGCTGTTATTTCGAGATTGTTGTGGTGATTTCTTGAGATGTTGCTACTGCTGACATTGCTGTAATTGTTATAGTTTATGTGGCTGCTACTGTTTGGCTCTTGATGTTCTCGCTTTTTTTGTTGACAAGTTATTGTAGATTTTGTTGGCCAAGTGGCTTTTGCGGTTGCTTCAGGGCTTGTTATGGTTGCTACTGGGTTTTTAGCTTTTTGAGGTGTCGGTGCAGGTTGACATTGCCGTAATAATTGCAGTTTTTTTGGGCTGTAGCTGCTGTATTCCTTATTGCTCTGGATTTTTGGCTTTTGGAGATGCTGCTATTGACACTGCAATAATAATTGCAGTTTGTTGCATCTTTCGTAGTTTTGCTGCTGTTATTGCTCCTGTTGCAACCAAAGTTGCTGCTGCTGCTGCTTCTGTGTTTACTATAATTGCAGTTGTTTACTCGCCAGAAATTGTTATAGCCGATAATTTGGTTCTCAGCAATCATTCTTGTTAGATTGCTGGTCCTGCTCCTCCATCGGCTGCTACTGCGAGTGCCAATAGAAGCTCCCAGCCGCCGTTTCCAGACAGATGACCAGGTGCTCCTCCATTCCCCCCTGGGTCTCCCGCAACATCCTCTCGTTTGCCTGGTTCTGGGCAATCTCCTCCAAACTATCATACCGCTGACTGTCGGTATTCGAGTTGTTTTTGCCAAAACGCTGCAGCATTTTGGCGAATAAGTTCTTAACTTTCGACATGATTTTTGAGTGATTTCGAGTTCTTAACGCGTTGGTCTTCAAATTGCAACTGTTGTGGGCTGATGGCAAGTGCCGCGCTTTTATAGGCAGACGGTGGGCAACCACCACCCAAAAGTCCCACCACCCAAAACAACAAGTGCCACATGTGCCTGCCACATGTGCAAACTCCGCGCAGGAGCAGCAGCCACAGCAGCCACAATATCATATCATCCCGGGTTCCAGAGTGCCAGAGTATCAACCCAACGTTCGCCTGCCACGCTTTCAGCGCAAGGAACCCAGCAGCAAGCTCAACACGTGCAGGATAATCTCGTTTTTACCCCCAACTCCTGTCGTCCCTTCTTTAATTTTTTTTATTTCTCGAACCATCCTCATTTTTTTCCGTTTCAATACAGAATAAATATTGAGAGCGTTGAGCAGTTGTGGTTCCCATGGATAAGGTTCGACAGTAAAGGGCCTTCCTTCCCCTATCCTGGGCATATATCTCGATTTTCTGAGGCTAGGGGAAAAAGTATCCCACGGTTCGAGTGGCAGCTGTTTGCAATTTAGGCCACAGCCCCGCTCATTTCGTTGCCTTGATATTGGTGGTGGTGGTTGTTCCTCGTTGTTTATGGTTGTTGGCTATGGTGTTGCTGTTGCTGTTGCTGTTGCTGTTGCCCCTTTTGACACATATTGCACTTGCTGCTGATGTTGTTGCTGCTCCTGAGTTGCTCCTGAGTTGCTTCAACTTTGCTTAATTGCTTCGCCCGCCGTTGGGTCACGCGTTTGCCTTTGCTTTCCACCTGATTGATGTTTGCTTTTGGGATTGGAAAGCTTGGAGGTTGGCTGAACGCGTGGCGGAGGACAAGTGCTGCTCTGCTCCTCTGATTGGGAGCGTGGGTCAGTCACGTGTTTGGAACACCGCTGGATCAAGGAATCCTCGCCAGTGCAAGGTGCTTGCGTTTGCGGTGGCCTTTTTGATAGTGTTTTAATTGAACTTGTATGGGTTCATAATTTGGAGTGTTGGTTGTCTGTGGGCCAAGGATTGGGAGGTGGGTCTTCGCATGAGGGTTGGTTTTTCATCGGCACGAGCTCTAAATAAAGTGGGTTTGAGGTTGATTGCCGGCGGGAAGTCAACTGTGTTTGAATGTTAAATGGTTCTGCTGATTAAATGGATTGAGTTTCCTTGGAGAGATAAGAGATGGGGTTATATTGCAATTAGAAAACTATTTAAGAAAATATTCTTATTTTTAAATACATAAAAGGTTTCAAAATTATTAATTGTTAAATAATTAATTATTATTATTAAATATTTAAATATAAAATTATTCACTTCACAATTTAGTTGATAATCCAAATAAAATGCGAATTTTCGATGATAAGTTTATTACATTTAATAATATTTTGTTAATTATTTATTCATCAACTTCGATGTAAGAAAACAATTGTCTCTGTAATTTTGAAACTCACAGAAATGTAGAGAAGACATAGACAATCCCAAAATAAGTGAAAGCCCCGAAGATGTTGATGCCCACTCTCATTAACTTCTCGGGTATTTTTCCCATGATGTATTTAAGGCCAGAACAATCGCATTAACACCAGGAAGTGGCCATTCTTCTCGAAGCTAACTCAGAGCTATTCCGAGTTATTCTAAGCATCCCACGGATTGCGGACTGTGGACACTGAGCTAATGCCAGCTCGCAACAATTGTCCACTTATCGTGCGGCTAATTTATGGCCGGGCAAACATTTGCCGGCGACATTTACCTGACAAACGAACTGGTGGTCCGGCATAAATCCCTCAAAGGATTGTAAGTCACCGAGATGGGATCATTGAAATCCAGCCAGTGGCTGTCAGTTGGCTACTGGGGATTGGGATTCTCACTCACCTTGGAGACATTAATGATTTGATTGCCCATTGACAAGCTGGAGCTGCCCCTCTCCACTTTTTTGGACTTCAATCAATGACAGACGGCTCGTTAAACTTCTTCTGCGGGTGCGTTCGTTCAATTAGCCCATGTCGTAAAGTACAAATAACTATTGCGTACAAGTTCCGAGGAACTCTGGGCCCGGCCATAATCATTAAGCCTGGTCGACTGAACCGACTGGTAGCCGACGGGCAATTTAAATTAAACAATCGTCAATGACGGCGACAAGAGTGAAAAACTAAAGTAAAGCAGTAGTCAGTAATCAGTCGGTTCGTCAGCCGGCCTCTCAGTCAGTTCGTCAGTCTGGCAGTCAGTCAATCCGTCAGTCAGTCCATCAGTCAGTCACACGACGATTGCTACTTGGGCCTGATAATAAGCGTCGCGCCGGCGCAATAAATGTGTGCCGACAGATAAATGTGTGCCCTCATCTGGTTGTTGCTTCTGTGTATCTGTATCTGTATCTGTGTCTGTATTTCTTTCCGTGTATCCGTGCCTGTAATCGTAACCATATAAGCGTCTTAAATGGCAGGTGTGCACATCGCGTGGGAAACACACGACGCGTCTCGAGCGGTTCTCACGATATGAAAATCGAGCAAAACAAACCGAAAGACCCCGAAAGACCCCTCAAGACCTCGGCAACAACAACGGTGACTGCCACTTTCTCGGGATCCGAAATTCGAATTGGATCTGGAATAGGGATTGGGGTTACCATTAAGGGCTGTTGTTGTTGGGAGTGCGTAAGGGGATCGACCTAACATTGGGTCAGGATTTATGGGATAGCGGAGTGGTATGGGGGTCCCTAAAACCATGACTAGAAAACGGATTTAAGTGCTTGTTTGTAATAAATTGGATATTACAATTACTTGCATAAGCAGAGAAAAAGCCCTTAAAATTTGAAACATTTATGGATTACTTACAAGGTGACTGATTTATTGCACTTTTTTTAAATCATACTATTTTCTTTTACATTTGAATAATGATATTAAATTGTTTAAACCTATTTAGAAGATCATTTAAATTAATAATTTTAAAAAATGATTTGATAAGGTACTTATTATCATTCTTAGGAGTCCAGGATTCGACTTCTTCAAAAACCCATACTTATTTATGTAACTGCCAATAATCTCCTGAAGGCTCTAAACGATCCTCCTCCTCTCCTCTCAACGATCCAAAGATCAGTAAGCCACAACAAGACAATTACAATTTTACCGAGTTTGACTTTCATTTGCTGGCCCAAACCGAATCAGTTTGTCGCAGACAATTGGTATACCAAATCCGTGTACCACGTTCCCACGTCTTGGCCAGCATTTTACGGTTTAATTGCAGTTACAAAGCGTCGCTAGGACGAAGGACCCCCACTCCTGGATGGCTAGACAATTGAAGGGAATAAAACACACAAAGGTAGCCAAGAAAAGCAGCCGAGGAAACTCATTCTTTGCACAACAGCGATTTCGAATTCGGTTTCCTTTCCCACGCACGCACAGCCGAGCAATAAGATTTCCAGATCTCCACGGTTCGGGGTTCGCAGGTAGCAGGTCCTCCAGCAAGGACCTTCTCCTGATTCTCATCTCGGCTATAAAAGCCGGTGCAGTCGAGGAATCCAGCATCATTCGAGCAGCATCCTGCAAGCAGTACAGATCAGCTCTCTCATTTTCACAAAACTACATCCATAAAATATCACACAAAATGGCACCACAGACCAGCAACAACTCCACCGCCTTCGTCTCGAAGACCCAGCACTACTTGAAGGTGAAGAAGCCTCTGCTGGAGCGGCAGCGACGGGCTCGCATGAACAAGTGCCTGGATACGCTGAAGACCCTGGTGGCCGAGTTCCAGGGCGACGATGCCATCCTGCGGATGGACAAGGCCGAGATGCTGGAGGCGGCACTTGTCTTCATGCGCAAACAGGTCGTCAAGCAGCAGGCGCCGGTCTCCCCACTGCCCATGGATAGTTTCAAGAACGGCTACATGAACGCCGTCAGCGAGATCTCCCGCGTGATGGCCTGCACCCCGGCCATGAGCGTGGATGTGGGCAAGACGGTGATGACGCACCTGGGAGTGGAGTTCCAGCGCATGCTGCAGGCCGACCAGGTCCAGACTTCAGTCCAATCAGTGGCCCCACGCCCACTCAGCCCCGCCTCCTCGGGCTACCACAGCGATAACGAGGACTCCGAGTCCGCCGCCAGCCCCAAGCCAGCCCAAGAAACCATGTGGCGCCCTTGGTAGATCATCATCATCAACCTGATAAGCAACGACATCGAATCCTGTCTTCCATCTGCTAAATCATCATTAGCAAATCACCATCGACATCGAATCCTGTCTTCCATTAGCAACTCCTGCTAAAACGAATCATGTCTTCCAATTGAATCGTTAACACTGTGATAACAGCTTTACATAGATCATAAGACCAACTCAAGCTTTACTAGTTCATTAAGATTTAGACTTTAAGAAAACACCACCACAGCTTTAATAGTTTTAAAATAAAAAACATAAAAAACGTAATACTTTGGTCTACTTATTTTCCATTTAAAAAAAATATCTAGTAGCTAAATCGTTTTGGATTTATTTTCTTAAAGAAATATCTTTAATCTTCTATGATTTATTTTGTTGGGGTCCCTATAGGAAAACGATAAGTCATATAAATCGAATGGTACAAATGGTACGCCCAGAACTACAATGCATATTATATTACTTCATATCATATCATTAATTCTTATTCAATTCAATTCAAAATAACACATAGATTGTACATGATCAAAACCAATTTTGTATTTGAAGTAAATTTTAAAACGTCAGTTGAGATCTGTTTTCTTGACTTATAGAATTAGCTTTAAAGTACAGTCGAACTGAAGTACCTTTGGCCCATCCACAGAGACGTTATTATGCGCCTTTCAAGGCGACAATGCGTAAGCAATGTTAGTACTGTTATGCATATATCTTTTACCCCTTATTGAATAGATCAATTCATTAGAATTACTCCACAGTTTATGTGTTAAAGGCACACATTAGACTTACCCTCCCCCACCTGATGAGTGATCTAAACAAGTTCTGTGCGTGACACCCCAGCTGCGACCTCCTCGGCGGAGTGTTAGGGTCCCCCGGGTCCAAGAAGGAGGTCCTCGAGTTGTAAGCCCAGACAAACCCCTGGCCAAGCGA